AACATTTCTGCAACAAAAACTTGCAAGTCAGTGTAACATTTTGACAAGATACTGTACGTTGGTTTCTTCATTTTGGCGTAATAAATGGTTTATCAATTTAGTATTTTTTGTGATTCCGATCTTCTTAGCATTGATTGATCTTGAATTATTTTTATAAATTGGATTTTTAATTTTTGTTAAATTTTTCTGATCCACATTCATCAGTGTTTTAAAAAAGAAAATCATCAGCCCCAAGTTTACTGTAGACGTATATTTGTGACCAGTTATGTACTAAATTATAAAAAGTCTTTGTGTCTATATTCAGCTTTACTACAGTAAGTGCCTTTAAGTCGGGGCATGCTAATGCTTATGTTACACTAAGTTTGCAATATGATTTGTAAGTTTGGCCTATAGGAGAGTCAAGCAGGTACAAAGGAAAGTCATATAGATTCACAAGGGTCATACTTATTCACAGGAAAGTCATATTGATTCATAGGAGTGGGAGAGTCATACCAACTTATTGGGGAGTCATCATAGCTAACAATATTTACATGGCATATTTGTTATGATCATGTAAAATACTTCTGGTTATCATACTAAGAAATTCCTTTTGAGTTACCCAGTTTGTCAATTAGCTACATGCATGCATGTGTCAAGATAGTGGATTGACCAATCACCATAATGTAGTCAAACTATCTTAAAGACATAATGATTTTTGACAACTGAGTCCAGATTTCTTTTGTTCTCAGAATTTCATAATGGCTGAATCGATTTCTGCTAGAATTTGGCGCTTCATTCCCCCCTGATAAATTATTAGATTGTTTTGTGTTGATAATGACCGGATTTTAGAAATCCAACCATACCCAACGATTTATTCCTGAGATTTCTTATTGAAGAGAATTGGTTTGACAAGCTCTTAGGTTTTAATTACAATTGATATAGATGAAGACATTGTTTAAAGAGAAATTGAACACAATGAAAGAAGAGTGGCCTAAAGGGAGATAATGATGTATAGACAATAGATACAGTTAGTTAGGATGAGTGATCAGTACGACAGATATTAAGTGGCATGGTGGCGATAGCAAACACTTGCTTTGACGAAATCTATTAATGGAGTTATTGATTGCTGCTATTATTGTGTGCGTCAGTCTTCCGAATAGGAATGAATACATGACCTTTGAAGAAGAATATATCGCAATCCGAGTGCAAGCAACCAATCAAAAACGAATCTCTTTGTTCCTAACGTAAAGCCTCTTTCTCTACTTGTCTTGACATTTGCATTTTCATTTCTCTGTGCATTCTTGCTGGCTTTCTCAAAAAATCAATTTCTGTAGTGACTTCAGCTAGTTTTTTTTTCATTAAAATCACAAATTGTATTATGCAATCATTTGGAATTGTAAAAGAGAGTATTGATTGTATAACTGAAGCTAGATTGTAATTTAAATTCCATATCACACTAACATGAAAGCCGAACAGCATATTGTACACCAATATATGCAAAACACATAACCACACAAATTGATTTGGACCAAAATTTATTAATGTTTGATAAATGGAAATCAATTTTGACAGAGAAAATATGCACGTTCTGGAATGAAAAAAATGGAAATTGCATTTCATAAAGTGGAAAAGATTTCTTGAAAATGGTCATTTCTCTAGTTGTTTGAAAGCAGAACGCATGATTTAAATAATGAATAATGTTTGGAACAGTTTACCCTAGTTTATAAATACATTTAATTATTGGAGTAAATTTATTTCTATGACATTATATATTCCCCTTTCTCATTTATTATTCTAAGAAAATTATTCTTTCATTTTTTGCTAATTTCCTTTTCCAACATTTCTCTTTGATTTTTAATTGTCATGTGTATAAAAAACCAACTCTGAATATTAACATTTTCAAGCAAAGAGCATATACAAAGCATGTCAGGCAACATTAACAAAAATTAATTTTTTTGCTATGCTATGCTATGCTATGCTATGCAATATATCAGCAAGTAAAACATAGTACTTGGCATTGCATTCCATTGCCCTCTATGGCTTTTTTGACTTTGGAAGTTTAAATTTTGAATACTGTAGGTCAAATATGATTATTGATATTTCTTTAGTCTCAATGATTCAGTTGAAATGAAAATAAAGAAATTTAAAAATAAAAAGCAAGCTCATTACTATCATTTAATAAAGAAAACACAGAACAAAGCTAGTTTATACAAATAGAGCCAAAGCTATCTTTATAACAGCCTATTAATATCATTTATAATTCATTAAGCCAAGTGGAGTAAAAAATAGAGTCAACTCGAACAGGAGGCTTAGAAAACTAAGTAATTATAGTAGAATATCATATGAATATATTGAATTGAAAGCTTACTAAGATATGATATGTTTAGAGGTCTTCATTGGATAGACAGAGACAGATGTCTAATGTTTGTTGAGCTAACAATGGAAACCTTCTATCTAATACTTGATGACTTGAACCTCGAGATCATTCAACTAAGAAAACAAATATTTCCTACATATGTCCGACAATTTGAGACATTCGGTCACAAAGGATAGGTCTGAAGATGTCCAAACAAAGACTGAAAACCTGCTTGGTTATTGAATTTATATATCAGTAATGATTAGGATATGATTAAACTGTCGAAACAGTCTGGGAGTAAAAGCACTGCGGGTGGCACTGGAAGCAACAAAAACTGTCTATTAGAGATTTTTATAGAGATTTTTAAGTGTTTATATTAGAAGAGAGAATCAGGTTATTGTATTTTTTTTATGATATCATAAAAGCTTTTGATGTAAGAATTTCCGTAATTTATGAGAATGATTTTAAACTGATCAAAGATATTTAATATTCAACTCAACTCATATCTTTAAAGGATATATCCAAATTTATTACATTATCATATGTAATATTTCCCATACTTTTATCTGATAGCTTCATATAGAAGTTTTTTTTATTTATTGCTGTCGTACATTGCTTGAAATATGAACTTCGATTATTTGCATGTATATGAAATTGATTCAGATTGTTTTAAAAACGTAATAAATCTGTATATTACGAAAAATTCAAATTTAGTGATAATGATATACATTTCTTTCACAACTTTTTTGTGTATGTTTTGAACAAAATTTTAAGGGTTATGACATGGCAAGATATTTGCCAAAACAGTAGTCATTACTTGACACTTGTAGAGGTGATTTGAAAATTTCAGAATAAAAAGTAAACAATATTTGAAACTAATAGGTCTAGACACTCCTTGAAACCTGCTTGCCTCTCCAATTTCTCATGTCTTATATTGTCTTAGCTTGTTCAAATGTGTACCTATACGAGTGACAAGGGGGTCAGCAAAACAACAAACAAACTTTATTCAAAAACAATAGAAAGTACCACTGTTGTAATATTCGTCCATCTTAACAATTACACTCCAACAACAGTCTTAAGTAACTTAAATAAATAATGTCTTATATCATTTCAACAGTTGTCAGTCTCTGAAGTCCAGGTTTGAAATTCCAGTAGAGGGATATGACAGGTTATAACAATGGTCCATTCATGGTTTTAATTTAATCTTTTAATATGAAGAGCATTAGGTCATTTTTTGGTCAATGTTACGTAATCAGATGGAAAATTTCTTTGATTGTTTGAGGCTTGCCAAAAATTTTGTTTGATGTTTGAAGATTATTTCTAGAATAAATGAAAAGGTTGTCTTTGATGATGTATTGTTGAAATTTTATATTAAATTTGATGTCAATAAAACTTTCTTTTAGCCAAATGTTTTGCATAATTCTTATGAATTTCTTTTTTCTCTTTTCAGAACTATGGTAGTTAATTTCGTAGAATCCAAAAAATGATGGAAATAGAAACTCTTTCGTGTATACCTACGTCAACATCCATTCTCCCAGCATTAACTAGCGCACCCAGAAGCAGCACACCAATAACAAAAGTACCAAACATAGGATTTACATCACCACAAGGCAGCACTCAATCTAGCAGTGAATCAACAGAGGACTGTTCACCAAATACATCAAGTACTGCTGGTAATACTTCACCAGTTAATTTTGCTAGTGAAAGTCGAGGCAATCATATTCCATTTTCGCAGCCTCAATCTTGTGTTCCTACACCACTGAACTGTCATTCTATTGCTAGTTTTGATACAGCCAAAATGATTATTGACGCTTCCAATCACAATGAACAGATGGACATTTCCTCTGATGCTGAATGTACAGCAGAAAAGGAGAAGATAGCTATTGCTGCAATCACTGATTTAGCAAGATCACCCCAAGGAGTCTTGAAAGTGGACTCTAGATCTTATCCTGCAGTGCCTGAAATGAGTCCAACTACATCAGGAGATGGCGACACTGATCGTATTTCTAGTCCAGCAACATCAGAACCAACACAAGAGAAACAAAGATCTAGGAGGAAGCCTTCCCTAGAAGATATTGTACGTCGTATGAGACCAAATGATGATTGCTATTATACAGATGATGATAGTGATGATGAAGAATTAAACCATTCGTTGTCTATTGACATGGCCAGACGGTCAGATGAAGTTGATGGTGATGTATCCATGAGCCACATGGAACGAAAAGACATTGCAGAACATACCAAAAATATACTTAGTGAAAATATCAAAAGAGAAAAAGAAAGTAGATCCGATGATCTATCAGATTCCAAAGAAAATCTCCCAGCATTCCCTAATGGCAGCTTACCCCCATCCTTTCCACTTGCTTCCAACATTAGCGAAACAGCTTTCTCACCAGGTTTTGTCAACAACAAGCATTGGTTCAATGGATCTATTAATGGCCTTCCTATGTTTCCTTTTCCACCCAGTCAAATGGACCCATCAATGGTGCATAAGTTTCTTCCATTTGACAATAAATTGGCAGCAGAAGTAGAGAAAGATTATTTGAAATGTCAGTATTGTGAACGAACCTTCCGTCGTCAGAAGAACCTAGAGAATCATATTGAGAACACCCACCATGGTAAAAGTCCAGTTCGACGCAAGTCAGATGGTGGTACCAGTAATGATATGTATTTTAAGTGCACTCATTGTCCTTATACAACCAAACATCAAAGTAATTTATATGTTCACATCAGAATCCATACAGGTCAGTTCCTAATTACCTAAATCTTTTTTGGCAATTTTCTTCAGCAATTTTCTTCATTTTCTCAATGAATCTGGACAGTTTGATTTGCAAATTGAGGATGACAATATAGAACAAATGGTACACGAGCAAATGTCCTTGATTATGTTGAGGATGCTGAAAGAATTCTAGAATGTTATGTTTTAGATTCATCACTTAATTGCCTTTGTCAAAAGAGATCTTCTGTATTAAAACTTGGGTTGGGCTAGGTTATATTTTGTATAATTACTCAGTGTTGACCTATGTTCTCAATGTTTTGTAGGTGAAAGACCATATATCTGTGGTGCTTGTGGAGTCCAATACAGTCAGAGTCATAGTTTAAAGAGTCACATTATCAACAAACATGATGGCATTATGTCTTACTATATCAAAGAAAAGAGAACCCGCTCACCAAGAGGTATGGGCTACCTGGCTAATGCAATGAATGGTTCAGAGAACAACATGTTCAAACTTCCACCACCACTTTTACCACATGGCATTCCAGGCTTACCACATAATTTTGATCTGAACAAATCTATGGAAATGATGAGACAGAATGAACAACTCATGTCTCAACAATCACCACATTTTCCAAGTAAGATGCCCTTCATTAATGGTCATGCTTCACCAAATTATGGAGATGTTCCTGCAAACAGAAGTCCAGGTTCATTCCAGATGCCAGCCAATGCTCAGATGCCAAGCACACCAATTCCATCATTGCCAACTTACCAACCCAGCAGTTCTCCTGCTCCATTAACACCAAACCACAGTTTGAATACCAAAAAGCAAAATGAAAGTGACGAATGTGGAGCCATTGATTTGAGCAAGAAAAATGAACCTATAGAGAAGTATATGGTATCTCCAATGAAGGAAAAGAATGTCATTAAAAATGAGAATCCTCATGCTTTATGTGCCAATTGTCTGTATGCTCCTAAGCTCAAGATGCTGCGACTTAATGTAGTGAAGATGCTGAGTATTCTAGTTCCTAATTTGAATTTTGAGGAGAAAGGAATTAGTGCTGATAGTGATTCTGTTGATGAATTGCTTCAGGATGTAATTGAGAGTAATACCCATGAAGAGGACATGACTGCTGAATAAAGTCTAAACTGCTATATATAGAACTGATGCATGGTCAAACACAAATATTTTGTGGACAAGAAATCCTATTTAGAGTGCTCTTTTTTTATTTTCGTTTATGAAACTGTCTCTAGAGAGTGCATTCGTTTGATTTTTATAACATTATTATGCACTTGTTAACATTAGACAATGGTAGATGGTGCATGGAGTTAGCTCCAAAATGGAGTGTGCAATAGAAAAAAATGTCATCCAACATCCAATCATATCGTCATTAGTACTTAGTACCACGGTCACAAGATTCAACCAAGAACCAATTATTATATTGCAATGTATTTTGTGAAAGTGTAGTGTTTTCCCTGATTAGAGAGTGTTTAAAGGGGTATAACTCTATTATTGTGAATTTCCAAAGACCAACTTTAAACATATGCATCATCATTTTTATCACTAGAGCATAGTTGCACTTCATCTTTGATCAAACATTTCAGTCAAACTGAACCCTTCATTTTGTTTTCATTTGTCAGTATTCATCCGTTAGTTTTTTGTATTTTACAAATATTTAGGACGTATATAATTATTCCCATGTTTTGTGACAAATTGCAAGTGGACTTGATTATCAAGGATATTTTCATTGCATTGCTAAAATAGCATTATTGATGTTCTAAAATTTATGAAATCAGATTCACATACACCATTTGATCTCGTATCATTTTTGTTCCATAACTTAAATCCATTCCATTCATTTCATGTAGATGCTTAAAGCATACCATTTAAAAAAATCCAATTGCATATGTTGTATTATGCAGATATTGAACAGAATTTGAATTATATTTGTACTTAATTTTTCCATACCAAAAGCCAAGAGATTGAAGAATCTTTGTAAATAGTGCACTATATCAAAATAAGCCAAAGTCCAAAAAATTCACAAATATTCCTACTTAAAGTAGAAAAAGGCTGACCATAATTTGTAAAAGGTTGTGAAATATCCAATTTATAGATTCCATCATAGAGCAATATATATTTCATAACAATATTATGTATATTTATGTATGTTTGCAACATCTATTACAATTCCCCCAAATTTAACCAAAAAAGCAATAATTTTAGTGTTAATTGAAAGCAATTTGAAGCAGCTATTACATCATGCTGATAAAAGTTCCTATAAATGAAGAATTTATATATTATACTGCTTTTAGAACATCTATTTTTATATTCCCTGTTTTTTCTCTAGTTTCAATGATAGAAAAATTGAATTTTTTTCTAATATTGTTGTGAGTCTTCATGATTTTCAATGTCTTCCTTTTTGAACAAATGTAATAAATTATTATGGGAGTAGAACTACAATCATTCATTATTTAAGTGATTTGTCGTTAAAAAAAAATATGAACTAACGCCCTGCGAAAGTAGTTGGCAGAGTCAATAACTATAGTGAAAAAAATGTGTATATATTTGAAGAAATTAACGACACTATATTCTATTATATTTGGTTGTGAAAATTATATAATAATTATAAAAAACCAAACAGCCTTCAAGAATTATTCTATATTATATTTGTCCTTCAATATAATGTTGTGTACTTATATTATGTGTACTTAAATGTTGTTGTACTTGTGTATGAAGGTTCCACATTATCCAAAGTTAAGAAACGTCCAAATCTTTAGTAATATAATTTAATGTATTTGATTGAATATACATATTAGATTTATTCTGCATTTAATGATATGTTATATTATATAAGTATAATTTAGATGGCAAGTAGGCAACATTATATATTTTATAATTTATATCTGTAATAATGCATCACAATGTTGGAAATTTACTGTTGAATGAAAAATTTAAGATTGATAATTATAGAAAGTACAAATGTTGTCTACAGGCCAAACGAAGAAGTAAAGTTTTACTTCATAATCAATACCAATATTTCTGCTAGTCACTTCATTTTGTCGCCAACTCAAGGCTGCAAGTTTCTGTCACTTTTTAGGTATCAAATATGGTCAAAAGTTTTATGTGAGACACCTAATAAAACTGGTGTGGTAAACTGTGCAAAATTTCTTTCAGGTTATTTATTAATTGGAGAATTTGACTTTAAATTGAAAGAACTAAGTTTAGGCAGTATTTTTAGAAAAAAAATTTAAAGTAAAATTTGTAGCCTTGATGATCGTAAAAGCTATTTCATCCATCATTATTTAGTAAGGTTGTTATGAGAGTGATGCCCCTTATATATCCAATTACCGGTGCATCCAGTACCCAAATTTTGTTATGAAAATAGTGTATTTTTAATTTTTCCATTTTTGGAACTGTTTATAAATATATATTTTGTTTGTTTTTCAAAATTTAAAAGCTAAACAAATCTGCTTTACAGTTTATTTGTTTGCTTACACTGCCATTTTTGTAATGTTAAAGAAATACATATCATTAGTTTTGTTTAGTCATATCAGCAAATATTATATGCTTTATTCTATTTAAGTGTTGCATTTATTTGAAGTCAACACGCATTGCATTTTGTTTCTGTTTAAGTATGATGTTTGGATGAAATTTTTGAACATTTCTGTTCCATTTTTCAGCACTTTGAACTAAACGAAAGTGCTGAAATGTGAATGACAATTTGTTTCAAAAGTTTGTTTGTTAACATCATTTTTTTTGTGTTCAGTATTTGTTCTAGTCTTTGCTCATTACCGCCATTTAACTTCAGTTCACACTGCCCGCAGAACGATTCCATAAAAACGCTTTTGTTATTTTTTTTATCAATGATCTTGAGTGTTTTTCCTTTGCGACATCCAATTCGTGTTCCTGTATATTCCATACTTTTAAATCAAATTTTATTGTCCTAAACTTTATTTTACACGTTTTTGTAACATACCAACCATGTATGCAGTTGTAGAAAAATCTTCTTTCTACTTAATTTTACATTCCACCGATAAAACAATGCCAAATAATTCCATCAATGTTGATCTCCTTGTTTTCATTTTGTTGAATATTTTATTCTAGTATTTTGTTGATTGATTGATACTTAATAAGGGTTCTGTTTCACTCTGTAGTTTCCAATCCTGGTTACAAAATTTCATAAAGTCAACTGTATTTTCATACTCAAAGTAAAGGAAATCCAAATCATTTTAGATACTGTTCAATATAAATAATGTAATGTCTTAGTCAAAAATTTATATTTTGGCTATTTCATTGGCATCCCTCCAGATTAAAATATGAACCAATCAAACAATCCAATCCTTATATGTAATTGGCAGAATATACTTACTTAAGATGTTTTGTTAAAGTATTATTATTATTATTATTATTCTCAGTACATTGTTGTAAATGTGAATGATAGTTTAGAACGTGTGTGTCCGAGTGTCCTACCAATTAAGTATTGTCTTGTCTTTGCATGTCCCTTGTCCTAAAATGAAATGTATAAACACATTCTTAGATGACCCTTAACAAATTCCAGAATGAATATGCTTAAAACTAAATACATGATAGCATCGTTTTAAAAGAAATCCTGTATTTTGATTGGTACACTTTTTCGATTCGTAATATCTTTTAGGGGAAAAATTCGCAAATATTTTATAAGAAGTGTTTATATGTTTCATTTTTTCAGTTCCAGAACCCATTATACAGAAATAAAACTTGGTTCTTCAAATTCTAGTGGCCAAACTGACTTAAATTGTGCTTACTGTAATGTTTTAATGGTTTGTAAATTGCACCGTGTTCATATCAGTTTCTGTAGAGCAAAAAACCTATTCTTCGGATTTTATTTCACATGGAATATCAAGCTTAATTCAATGAGTTTTCAGATGGTCTAATGTTAAGACTTCTTTAATTACTTTTATCGAACCAACAAGCAAACTTTCAGTCTTAACAAGTGCTGCCATCTAGAAGCCCACAGAATAAAGCTTATGAGCCAAAGACAAGATTTATAGAAAATTCTTTCCTACATCGTAAGTTATAACAATACCAGTATAATGTCTTCCTTTAATAGTATTTGACTGTGTTGTAACCTTTTGAGAACATTCAATTAAGACATTAGTTAAACCAAGAAATTCTGAATTTTTGTACTTAATTATAGGAATCTGAATTTCGTTCTTTCAAATATGTACTTGAATTTCCTAAAATCTTAGTACCAGTACTGTCCTTACAAAGATCTGATAGAAGTTTTATTATAACGTCCACCAATTAAAACTGTACACAGTAGATTCTAAATAAGTTAAAACATCTTTGTATTTAGTCATGTGGAACCATTTTTTTGAATCTACAGCCTTCTGTCATTTTGTATTAAGAAAATGTAT